TTCATTTTTTTTCCAAACTCGGAATTTTCAAAACGTTTTCATTTTTTTCCAACCTCTGAATTGTAAAAAAATTTGCATTTTTTTTCCAACCTCGGAATTTTGAGAAAATTTTCATTTTTTTCTCCAACCTCGGAATTTTGAAAAACATTTTTTTTTTCCAACCTTGGAATTTTGAAAAAATTTTCATTTTTTTTTTCGAACCTCGGATTTTCAAAAAATTTTCATTTTTTTTTTCCAACCTTGGAAATTGAAAAAATTTTCATTTTTTTTTTCCAACCTCGTAATTTTGAAAACATTTTCATTTTTTTTCCAACCTCAAAATTTTGAAAAAAAATTCATTTTTTTTTCAACCTCGGTATTTTCAAGAAATTTTTATTTTTTCTTTCCAACCTCGGAATTTTGAAATATTTTCATTTTTTTTTTCAACCTCGGAATTTTGAAACAATTTTCATTTTATTTTCCAACCTTGGAATTTTGAAGAAATTTTCATTTTTTTTCCAAACTCGGAATTTTCAAAAAGTTTTCATTTTTTTCCAACCTCGGAATTGTAAAAAAATTTTTTTTTCCAACCTCGGAATTTTGAGAAAATTTTCATTTTTTTCTCCAACCTCGGAATTTTGAAAAACATTTTTTTTTTCCAACCTTGGAATTTTGAAAAAATTTTCATTTTTTTTTTCGAACCTCGGATTTTCAAAAAATTTTCATTTTTTTTTTCCAACCTTGGAAATTGAAAAAATTTTCATTTTTTTTTTCCAACCTCGTAATTTTGAAAACATTTTCATTTTTTTTCCAACCTCAAAATTTTGAAAAAAAATTCATTTTTTTTTCAACCTCGGTATTTTGAAGAAATTTTTATTTTTTCTTTCCAACCTCGGAATTTTGAAATATTTTCATTTTTTTTTTCAACCTGGGAATTTTGAAAAAGTTTTTATTTTTATTTTCCAACCTTGGAATTTTGAAAAAATTTTCATTTTTTTTTCCAACCTCGGAATTTTGAAAAAAAATTCATTTTTTTTTCAACCTCAGTATTTTGTAGAAATTTTTATTTTTTCTTTCCAACCTCGGAATTTTGAAACAATTTTCATTTTTTTTTCCAACCTCGGAATTTTGAAAAACATTTTTTTTTTCCAACCTTGGAATTTTGAAAAAATTTTCATTTTTTTTTTCGAACCTCGGATTTTGAAAAAATTTTCATTTTTTTTTCCAACCTCGGAAATTGAAAAAAATTTTCATTTTTTTTCCATCCTCGGAATTTTGAAAAATTTTCATTTTTTTTTTCCTACCTCGTAATTTTGAAAAAATTTTCATTGTTTTTTCCAACCTCGGAATTTTGAAAAAAATTTCACTTGTTTTTCCAACCTCGGAATTTTGAAAAAATTTTCATTTTTTTTTTCCATCCTCGTAATTTTGAATAAAATTTCATATTTTTTTTCTAACCTCGTAATTTGGAAATTTTCATTTTTTTTTCCATCCTCGTAATTTTGTATAAAATTTCATTTTTTTTTTCCAACTTCGGAATTTTGAAAAAATTTTCATTTTTTTTTTCCAACCTCGGAATTTTGAAAAAATTTCCTTTTTCTTTTCCAACCTCGGAATTTTGAAAAATATTTCATTTTTTTTTTCCAACCTCGGAATTTTGGAAAAATTTTCATTTTTTTTTTCCAAGTTCGGAATTTTGAAAAAATTTTCATTTTTTTTTCCATGCTCGGAATTTTGAAAAAATTTTCATTTTTTTTGCAACCTCGGAATTTTGAACAAATTTTCATTTTTTTTTTCCAACCGCGGAATTTTGAAAAAAATTTCATTTTTTTTCCATGCTTGTTGTATAAGGGATACGTCCGATACGCACAAAATGTCTGAACATGCTTAAAAGCATTTTTCTGCCTCGCCGTATGCCAGCGTATGCCAGCGTATGCCACGTATGCGACCGTGCTTGGAACGTATACAACCTATGCCTAGCGTATCCCTAGCGTATATGTCAGCGTATACCGGCGTATAAGTGATATTTTTCATACGCTGGCATATGCTAGTACGATATGAAATAGTGTGATAGGGCCTTAAGTTAGGGCCACAAAGGCCACAATTGCAATGATATTTTAATGTTTATTATAATGCATTGATGACAATATTGACTTATGGATTGAATGAAGATTCCATTGTAACTATATTCAATAAATATAAATAATATAAAACAACTGCACCTTGTCTATTTTTGATCAAATGAAGTACAATGGAGGCTCCGAATTTTATTTATTTTTATAATTGTCCGTTTCATGGACGACCATACAGATTAGTCGAAACCTAAAGTCATAAATTTTTTTTGGAGTCCCCATTGTACTGTATCTTATATTAATTAGTACTAAAGTGGTCCAGGAAGCAGCCAATCAATGAGCATATCGTATAGCAAAATAGCAGCAAATTTTCAACAAGCTGCGAATTATTGTGGGATTTTCGTATTTGCAAGAACTTGGCACTAAATTCGCAATTACAGCAAATATTAATAATGACTTCATATTTGCACCATATGCAATTTAACTTGCGATTTCTACCTTCTCAACAATTTCAAATTGAATTTGGAGTATGTGCGAATTTATAAAAACACACTAAATTTGCATTAAATTTGCACCATGTGGCTTGACGGCATCTGCTATCCAGCACCGGGTGCAAAGTTGAAGCAAATTTATAAATTTGGATACGTGCAAATTTGGTCAAAGGTGTGCGATTTTGGACTTTGCATCAAATTTGCACATACATTTGCACATATACGAAGTAGATTTTTCGTCCCGTGACTACACTGATGAGGCCCATAAGGCCGAAACGGTACCGTCTGTAGTTAGATATCGCTCTATGGCCTTTAGGTCATATTGAGCGCTCTACAGGATGAGCCATGCCGCTTACGCATTGCGCACGCTCACTGCTTGCAGTTTGAGCGCTCTGGCATGGTTTTGATGTCCCACAATCGTGAGGCATCAAAGGTATCTGTAAATAGCAGTTACTTTCATCCTGCTCATCAGCACTACACACTGTAAATTAAAAAGGGCCAAATCGACCCCAAATTCCGTTACAGCCCTTTTGGGGCCAAAGCTGTTTTGGCCCTATGTGAAAGCCATTTTGGCATTGGAGAGCTGGATCTGCACCAACGGAGCCATTTTAGGTATGGAGGAAAGCCAAATTGGCCCTACCCTTTGCCGTAACGGACCCATCATTTTCCAATTTAGCCCCATCAATTGCCAATATGGCCCCACAGACCAAAACGACTCTCACGTCCGGGTTTGTTTTGGCCCCACATAAAGGGGCCGCTTTTGATCAACACTTTGGCCCCTATGAGCTTCGTTTCGGCTCTCCATCGCGGAACGACTCCCAGATAGGTCAAATCGACCCTGGAATAAAATCGACCCTTTTGTCGAAACGACTCTTCTGTCAAATGGACTATTAATTGTGTCAAATCGGCCCTTCTGTCAAATCGACTCTTAAATGTGTCAAATCGACCCTTCTGTCAAATCGACTCTTAATTGTGTCAAATTGACCCTTTTGTCAAATCGACTCTTAAATGTGTCAAATCAACCCTTCTGTCAAAACGACTCGTAAATGTGTCAATTCGACTCTTCTGTCAAATCGACTCTTAATTGTGTCAAATCGACCCTTCCGTCAAATCGACAGTCTTAATTCTGCCAAATCGACCCTTCTGTCAAATCGACTCTTAATTGTGTCGATCGTCTGTCGTATGATCGTATCAAATTAACTTCCGCATAAAACTTAAAGAATGCACATGCTCGCAGTCGCAAAGAAAAAGAAGAGGACGTTTTTCGGATTATACAAGGTGAGATTTGATGTTTCATTTTGTAGGGTATTGAAATTTTTTTTCCAGATTTTTAGTAATTTTATCGTAAATATAAATACGGTATTTGTAAAAATTAATCACGAGAATTGAAGGCCTAGCTAGGTGTAATATTAATGATCGCGGGAACTGGGAACGAGAATGCACGCACGCGCCCGTAAGCAAACGGGTTTGCGATCATTCTCGAGCATGCGCCTAACTTTTGGCGCCATTATCGAACGTTGGCCGTTGGGATTTGCTTCGACGAGGGATACGGATAAAATACAAGCGTAAAACCTCGTTCGTTGCAGTATATTTTGGACAAATAAACAATTTATTAGGAAAATACGTTCAAGAAACGTCTCGTGCTGTACTAGCCTAATTCTGGCAAATGTTATTTACTTTCTTCACCTTCGTGTCGAAGACTGTTGTTTGCTGATGGCCAAATCACGACAGCGGACATCAATTATTCAAAATATGTTCTTATAGCTTCACGTTTACGATACGAAACACGTTTTAATGTAAGATTATTTATTTTTTGTATATGTAGGTTGTAGTTGAAAGTGACAACGACAAATTGAAAAAAGTGCAAACAACATTGAAATATCCAGTTCACTACTAGCTCAAATCCTGCGACATATCACTTGCTAGTAGCCCAGTCTAGTTTAACTTTTCCCAATCAAGAATCATCTCCTGAATCAGGCATACTGGCAACACTGGTTCATTTGATAATGTAAGTTTTTAAACTGGTATTTTAGATTATAGCCTCGGTCAAATGAGGATGAAAGTCATGCATGAATTGCTTATAAATACACAAAGGACATTTCAAGTTCCACATGAACAAAATATTATTAAAGCTTTGATGAGTGTTCCAACTATGTTTCAACTTAATTAAAATACTCTCATCCTCGTTTGATCCATAATTATTTGTTGATTTTACTCGATACTAAATAGTGAAACATCGAATCCAGATAAAATCTTATGCAGAACCCACTGTAATTCCGAGCTGTAATTACATAATTATATAAAAGTCGTTTCAGTAGCAGCAAAAGCCAAACTAAACACCAACTAGGATTAATAGGTTTAGCTTTTAGGCCGAGAATAATACACGATTGACAATTTTGTGGCTGATTGATTAATTAATTAATAGTATACTGTATATTGATGTTGTTGTTGTATACAGGACATCTGACTTACATGTCAAATTAATAGTCGACTCTATGATTATATTGAGCATAGCACATTTGACATTTGAAACATTGTTGATGTTAATAACCCAATGAGTCGCATTGCGCCCTGATGCGCACTAAGTATTTATTATTTTACTCTGGTTATCTAACGCTAGGCAATTTTACTCATCAAGGGGAGAGGACTGGCGGTTAATGTGTTAACTAGCCTATCTGCCCATGTTTACAGTTAACCCATTGAGTCGCATTGTGCCCTAATGCGGCCTAATTTATTATTTTACTCTGCCTATCGCAGGACAATTTTACTCATTAAGGGCAGAGTGCTGGCGCTTAATGTGTTAACTGGCCTATCTGCCCATGTGTCTAGTTAACCCATTGAGTCGCATTGCGCCCTAATTTATTATTTTACTCTTTCTAACGCCAGACAATTTCACTCATTAAGGGGAGAGCACTGGTACTTAATGGGTTAACTGGCCTATCTGCCCATGTGTGTTGTTAACACATTGAGTCGCATTGTACCCTAATTTATTATTTTACTCTGTCTAACGCCAGATGATTTCACTCATTGAGGGGAGAGCACTGGTGCTTAATGGGTTAACTGGCCTATCTGCCCATGTGTGTTGTTAACACATTGAGGCGCATTGTGCCCTAATTTATTATTTCACTCTGTCTAACACCAGATGATTTTACTCGTCAAGGTAAG